TTAAAAATGATTATAAATTAATTCGTTTAAAAGTTAAATCGTCATAATATAATGAATAAAAAGAATAAATTTATTGAATAATTCAAAATTCATTGAATCATTAGCTCATTAATAAATAAATGAATGAATGAATGCATTAATTAATTAAGTCAATAATTCATTTATTCGTTAATTAATTAATTCAGTAATTCATTTATTCATTACCAAAGTAATTAATTAATTAATACATTAATTTAGTAATTCAAGTATTTCTTAATTTAATAAATGAATAATTCAGTATTTCAGTGATTCATTTATTCATTACCTCATTAATGTATAAATTCAGAAATTCATTAATTTCATGATTAAGTAATTCAGTAATCCAGTAATTCAGTAATTAATTAATTAATTCACTTATTCACTAAATCAGTAATTTCTTAATTCATGAATTCACTAAATCAGTCATTCATTTATTCACTACCGAATTAATTAATACATTAATTCAGTAAATAAATAATTTTATAATTCAATAAATGATTAATTAAGCTATTCAGTAATTCATTTATTCATTAACTCATTAATTTATTAATGCAGTAATTCAGTAATCCAGTAATTCTGTAATTTGGTAATTAATTAATTCACTAATTCGGTAATTTAGTAATTTCTTAATTCTTTAATTCAATAATTCATTTATTCATTACCCCATTAATTAATTAATTAAAAAATTTAGTAGTCCATTTATTAAATAATTAAGTAAATCACTAATTTAGTAATTCAATATTTTCTAGATTCATTTATTCATTAATTCATTAATTCAGGTTTTCAGTAATTTAGTAATATATTAATTCATTCACTCTGTAATTCATTAATTCCTTTATTCCGTAATTCATAAATTCTTAAAATCATCAGTTCATTAATTTATTAATACAGTTAATTATTAATTCATTAGTTCATTTATTTATTAGTAATTAATTAATTAATTCCTTTATCCTTGAGCACCTCCCAGTCTACAATATCTCCCGGCCACTGCTGACTTAGACCGTAGTGCCTTCATCTTCCCCTGAGTCTGTCAGCGTCTCAACTTCCGACATCCTCAACATAGCCATGACGAATGACGTGCCTCGAATAGTCGAGCTGTGCCGAACAGAATGTTTCAGACAAACACGTTTTCGTTGTACCCAACGACACGTCTGTCTGTTTGTTTGCAAAACCCGTTTTCTGCATGATGTTTCTCGGCGCAGGTGCATGCGCCGTTCAACACTGTGGCCACATCAATCTGGTCTTCGCACTTTAGCCTACATTGCAGCCTGTCTGAAGTCTTCTAGTCGTCTGTGCTTAGGCAACAAGACGACAAATAAAAAATGCATAGGCCAAGTGTGTTTCGTGAATATGAAGATAAGCTGGATTCAGAAGAATCCTTTAACAATTCCACTTCACTGAACTTTTCACTTTGAAGCAAAACTTCGGCGCAAGGAATGCGTAAATCAGCCTCACCGTAAACCAAAGGACTGTTGACTTGCTTGAATAACTCCTCATTTCTCCCTTCCGTACCTTTCAGTGAAAGGTGCTCCAACATCAATCTACAAAGGGCTTATTCGAAACCCAGTTTTTATACAAACTTCGGCTTACCTCTTTGACAGTTCTTTCATTTCTGAACGGAATTGGTAGATTTCGAAAATATCAGTAGACTCTGAATAATAATTTTAGTCGTGTAAGGATGGATAGTTGGATTTTCCACAATGAAATGCCTATAAGATCTTGCGACACCCCTAAATTTCACACAGCCCCCCTCCCAAAAATTCTTGCCCATCCGAACTGGGCTGTAATTTTAACTTCGTATAAGTGTCATCCACACCCAAACCGGCTGTGAATCGGGAAAGTGCATACAAACTGATTCAAATTCATTTCACCCACTAACATTCTTCGCTATCTCTGTTTACTTTGCCACATTAAATCCTCTTTAAGGGACGAACTGGGAGCACAACATTGGCAAATAAAGTCTCTCTGGTTGTGAGGTTCTCCAAACCTTGGCCTCGTGTTCAAGATGAGATACCTTCGGTGGAAAGCATGATTGCTTTGCGACCCTGGGGATGAAGGCTGCCGAAACTGCCCTTCCATCGCGACTTGACCAAATCGTCATCAAGTCTTGGCAAAATCTTTGTCACATGCTCTTATGGTGGCACACCAGCCACCTGCCCAACTCGGTAACATGGTGACGTCAGTTGCCAAGTTAGGCCCTTCATACGTTGCCATTCGGCCTGCTTCTTGTAGCCAAGCTATCTGCCAAAGTCCGCCGCACACACACACAAATGGCGGTCTTGTTCGTGGACCTGGTCTATCCGGTTCCTAGTTCATGTTCTTGTGTGACGTTCCTGCAAACAGCACATATTTTAAACCCGCTTATTAGGTCTGCTTAGCAAACAATCACTCGGTTCTATGGGCTCTAGATGGCGGTAAATGCTTCGACAAATGACGAGCATACAATGTTATTGGACCATTCATTTGTGGATTAAATAAGAAGATGACACAAGCACACAGATACTGGACTTTATGGCGGACAAATCGGCCAGAAAGGTTCGTTTAAACGCAGAACGGACGGCTTTGCTTCAGCCGCCCAAATCGTCTGCAAATGGGGCCATTTCTGCGCTATTTCATGCACAACGACCAGCAACGACTAAAAACAAGACGAAGCCGCCTGCCGAGTGCAGTTACTGCCGCAACTTGGCGGGATTCCAACCGAGCATGTATGGGCTACTCCATGGGCGACATGAGCCTGTATCTGATCCGTCCCACAATTAGCATGATTTTTTATGGATGTTCTAGTTGTCAGTGAAACCTCAGATGAATAGTCATGACGACAATTTGAATACTCATCAAACGATAGTGAGCAGCCGGA